GAGAATTGCCAGGAGATCAGTGAATGAGCACAGAAAGAGGAAATCAAAATAGTGGGTGATTTTTCAGCTGTGTAAGAAGAGAGGAAATAGGAAAAGGCAGGGATTTAACACAGTGAGGATAGAGAAGAGGGTGAAGGTCAAGTACAGGCCAGCAGGACAGTGTGGATATTTTTCCCTCTGTTTTTTTCAGGAAGGTTGAAATAGCTGTTGGGAATCACAGAATGCAAATCACAGAGCTGGAAAGGGAATAAAACTGGGAGTTCGGTGCACTCAAGTCAAGCATAGGGAGCTGTGTGCTCAGTAGGGAGGAGTTTTAAGAATCTCACCAAGTACAGATGGGGTGTCCACGGCCACAGAATACTCAGTGGGACAGGGGTTCAAACCCAGCCTGAACTCTGTGGCCTGCGGGGGTTTCCAACTCTTTCTGGCAAAGAACAGTGGAAGAACTACAGCTAAGTGGAAAACATGGGATAAAGCACAGGAGTTACCACAGCGCCAGTGAGCTCTGTACCTGTGTGTGTTAGGTAAGAGAACTTGTGTGTCGAGACAAAGGCAGTGCAGTGCATCCGATGCGACTGGGCTCCTCCGGTAAGGCATCCGACGGAGTTCTGGTGGGAAGTGAATAAAGATGAGGATGTACTAATGCACAGTAACTAGGTGGCGACCGTGGGAGCTGCTGCAAAGCAGGCTGCTGTTACTTTTTACTCAGGAATTCATCTTGGATAAGCCTAATCTTGCTAAGTGTTTGCCTGAATCTCTGCTGGAAAATTTGCATCACAGGAAAGGGATCCATCGTTTGAAACGGTAGCATGAAGTGGGCTTTTTGGCTTGGGGCCATGGTGGGTATGTGTGTGAAAAGCTTTAGGAATGATGAAACAAAGCCAGATGCCTGGCTTTTTGCATGGAGTGTAACTAGGTAGGCCTTCATGCTGGGTCTGAAGGAGCTGCAGGAGGAAGCAGGTCTTGTTCACAAAGAATCTGCCTGTATTCAGGGTAGAACTTTGTTTTTTGGAAGTGGTCAGGTTTGTGTGCTTACTGTACTTCTTGGGATGCTGCAACCCTAGGTCAGAAGAATTACCGCTGTACCCTCTGTGACAAGTCCTTCACCCAGAAGGCTCACCTGGAGTCGCACATGGTCATCCACACAGGGGAGAAGAACCTGAAGTGTGATTACTGCGAGAAGCTCTTCATGCGGAGGCAGGACCTCAAGCAGCACGTGCTCACTCACACGCAGTAAGTGATCTCACACCCTGTGCTGGACTGCCCAGAGCAATAAATAATGGAGCCAGACATCCCCAGAGAGAACCTCCAGTTTGCAAATAGTTTGGCCCTAGGGAGCGTGGGTTCATCTTTTCAAACGGCAGAGAAGTCAGTCTGGACAAATCCCCTGTTACCGGGTGAGGTTGTCCTGTGGGAGTGTTTGCCATATTTTAATGACACAGTAAATTCCAGGCGTGCACCTTGTCTTGGGAAATGGCATTCTGCAGTGTCCAGCAGTTTGAAGGGAGGGGAGGTTACTTGATTTACGGTCAGTTATCTGCTAAGAACTCTTTCCATATCCCAACATGACCATGAAATAACACAAACTCCTCGACGCTACTCTTGCTGGGTAGCTTATTAGTGAGGTCTCCCTCTGTTAGGGGCAGCGTTGGGGTGCAGCCATAACCAGCTCTTACCTCCCCCCTCCCAGCTCCCACTCAGGCGCTTGGTGCCCTACTCCTCCTGCAGGGAGATGCCCACAGTCAGGGCAGAGCCGCACCCCCCAGTTATCTACAGGCCTCTCCCAGCCCCTCAGCTCTCTGCCAGGCCAGCTCTTCCCGCTCCATCCTGTCTGCTTACTCCCAGTCCAAGGTCCTCCCATAAAGGCTGCTTGCCCAACGCTAGTCCCTCCGCTTGTTTTGTTTTCAGGGTCTGGTTCTTGTACTCACGGGAATCTTCTGTCACGTTGCCTGGGAGGCAGCACAGTGCAGCCAGCAGGAGCAGGAGAGGCAGGAGCAGGAGAGGCAGGCACAGGAGAGGCAGGCGCAGGAGAGGGAGGCATGCAGACAGACTCTCTGCTGTTCGTCCTTCCTGCCAGAGGCAGGAGCACTACTGCTGGTGGGTGTCCTGCAGGGTCATCTACAGAACGCGACTGTTGAAGTCTGGGAAGCCTCTGCTCAGCACTGACAGACCGAGGGCCGTCAACACTCCGCAGCTTTGTGTTCTGTGTTGTTTTCTTTAATTTATCATCAGGGAAGAAAAGCGGTTGGTGCGAGCCAGCAGCGAATCCCAAAAGGCTGACTTCTGCCAGCCGTGTTGCAGGGCGGGGGGAGCAGAGGAGAGGGACTTTGTGTACGTGCTGCAGGAGAGAAAGCTGAGCAGTAGTTACAACTCGGTGCTGTTATTTCTAGTCTGCTTCTCCTTCACGTACGCTGAGAGGAAGATTTAGGGGTCAGACTGGGGAGGTCTTGCCCAGAGGGATTTTGGGGTCAGAGGGGTCTTGCCCCCCTCCCCAGTGTCAGGTAGCGCCATCCGCAAACTGTAACTCTTGCATGTCTTGCAGAGAGCGGCAGATCAAGTGCCCCAAGTGTGACAAGCTGTTCCTGAGGACGAATCACCTGAAGAAGCATCTCAATTCACATGAAGGAAAGAGGGACTATGTCTGTGAAAAGTGCTCCAAGGCTTACCTAACCAAATACCACCTCACTCGCCACTTAAAAATATGTAAAGGCCCCACGTCCAGCCTGTCGGCCCCCGAGGAGGAAGAGGAGGAGGATTCAGAGGAGGAGTTAATAGACTCTGTGAGGACTGAAGACTGCAGAATCAATAATGGAGTCTATTCAGCAGGTGATGCCCTCTCTGGACACAAATGAAGACAAGAGGGAAATTTTCCTGGCTATCAAAACTGGGGAAGGAGAAAACCCACTCTTCCTTGTTCTCCCCAGTCAACAGCGTCTGTCAGATGGGGAGTTTTCCTTCTGTTCTGGTTTCCGCGCTACCACCGCTTAACGAACTCTGCAGCCACAGCACTGAACGAGAACGGACCGTGCACGTACAAGGGAGGAGTTGCTGCAAAGGAAGCGGGAGGCAGGGAGATGTTTTTCACACACGCTGCACATACTTCTTTTCCAAATCACTCAGATTAACCCATCCAGTGCCGGGACACACGATGCACCTTGCGCAGACCTTGGAGTACCAAGAGCCACAAACCAGAAAGGTAGGCAAGCGACTGCAGTGACCTCTGAGCTAACTGTCCTTAACTGCCACAGCCACGACCGTAAGGAAACCAGACCAGACGTGGTGGTGGCAGTTGGTGCGTTTTTAGTACTTTTTAACTGAAGGATGTGGCTTGGCACCGAGCAAAGACTGTCAGCGCTCAGGTTTCCATCCAGAAGTGGAAAACGCCACCCTTTGGTTAAAAAAAGGCCAGTGAAATCAGCCTTTGCGAAGCAATTACGCCACTACAGAAAATAAAGAATTGGCTTTTGGAGAACAGTTCCTGCCTCGTCTCACTCTGGTTCAGCCGAACACGTAAGCGGGGAGGAGGGGAGGGCTGTACAGATGCGGTGAGGGTGGGCCGGTGTTTGCAGTGTACGATACTGCTTGTGCTTTAAAGCTTTTACCACCGCGAGAGAGGGGAGGGGTTGCTGCTAACACTATCCACGGAATGAAGATGTGCTTCATGCAGTTGGTTTCTTCTAAAAAAATTAAAAATGTGGCTCTTTTCTAGTGTTCTTTTTTAATATTTACACATTCTGAAAACAGCTTTCCAGTTTCTGATAATGCTGCCAAGAGAAATACCACCACGCTTCTGTCATCTGCCTCTCCCGAGCTTTCCTGGGACAAGGCAGGGGTAGGAGCGCCTGCAGGAACCCGTGCAGCTAGGAACTCATCTTTAAACCTTGTCTGTCTGCTCCGTGGCCCCCGGGCTGTGCTTCGGTCTCTGATGAGGTGGCTAGAGGCTTATTTGTGAAAGGAGCCTTAAATGGCCAAGTTCAGCCGTCCCTCTCCCCACACGCTGTATCGCTGGGAGAGCTCGCGGGCTTCTCCAAACCTGAGAACGCACAGTGCTTGCCCTCTGAGATCAGTATGTGAAGCAAAAGCTCCAGAAGGACAGGATGTTACTTAAAGTAACAGCATTTCTCCCTAAAACAAAAAGCAACTTCCAGAGCTACAGTGCCAATTAATACCAGAGGCAGAGACAACAGAAATTACTACCCTCCAGGAGCTAAACACAAAGCATTTATATCAAATGAAAGCTCTGTGACCCTCGCTTTGTGTCCTGGCAGACTCATCTGCTGAGCAGTAGCTCCTTACTTCCATTCAAACTCTCTATCTGTATTATACTGGGAGCTTGTAGAAAAACCCAAACCACACGCAGCACCAAGAAGCTTCAGGTGCTGCGGAACCCGGGAAGAGAAACCCTTTATCTTGAAGGGACAGAGCTGGGATACTTCTGGTTTGATACTGGTGACCTGAGGTGTTAAAGTCGATTCTGCTCAGGGACTCCAACTCACTGCCCAAGAAATGCTCTTGAGGCTTAAAAAAGTTACGTAGGAGAACTTTATAAATCTGTATTAGAAATCTGTAAATCTCGCCCCAAATTAAGGATGTTACCTATTTACAGTTTCATTCAGGTTTTGTTTATTACACAACTGTTGCCCGCAGTACGTTTCCTTACGCCCTTAGGAGGCATTTACCTTCCTGCAGTACTCGGCGCGCTCTGGTAGCGGCAGAAAGCTGCTCAGTGCATGTTCAACTTTACACACAGCAGCAGCCCCAGTTCAGGGATCGTAATCCAGAGCAAGCGATTTAACCTTTCAGAGCCAGCAGCGGAGGCAGGAACTCGAACTGCTGACTTAGAGCTTACCCACGTCACCGCGTTTCTTAGGCTGACCTGAAGCAGCCTGCAGGTTGCAAGGCACTCAGGTAATTTCTGTGAACTCTCACCAAATGGGGGGGTTGTAGAATACACGAGCCATAGTCCATTAATTACTGTGATTTTGCTGACGTTTGGTCCATCACGATTCCATTGCTGTCTCCGGATCGTTGCTGCTGCTGCCGGCCACGGAGCTGGCACTAGCCAGAACAAGTCTCTCTCTGTTCCCAAAAACGTCATTCACTGCAACACAGATAGGGGATTGCTTACGAGGTGTGCTTCCAGGGGCAGGGGAGGTGCAGCACGCATGGCATGGTGAGCACCAGGCATGGAAATCCTGGCCTAGCAGGGGTTTTAAAGCTTTTCCCCTTACCCTGAGGGGGCAGCTGAAGCTCAGCTGTCAGAACAACCCCCCACATGACAAACTGCAAGTCCTGTTACTTCTCCTCGAGACCATCTCTAGAGGTTTCCCTGAGCATCTCTGGAGGTTTCCCTGTGTGTAACTCCTGTACCTCAGCACTGTGAAATGGGTGAGTTTTGCAGAGAGAACCGTTAAGTTTAAATCATGTATTTCTGGTTTCAGTCTCTCTGGTTTCCACCGAGCTCTTAATAGCCTTCTCCCAAAATTCGTGCCATGTAGTTACACGCAGCTGCAAGAGCTTATCAACACGAGCCCTCACTTCTGCTCCTGCAGGGACTCCACAGCGTGACACCTGACTACAGCAGGGGCTTTGGGAGGGCAGTAAAACGTGGGTAGTGCAAGGAACCGGGCATCACACTCCAGCTACAGGAAAACAAATGGCATGGCAAACACAGCTCTCCGTGTTGGAAAAACCCCATGTTTTTTGAGGCTGAAGACGCGAACTCGAGCAGTTGTTGCAAAACGCTCACCAGCAGCTTCTCGCAGAGCCGCAGCACTGAATACACGCACGCCTGCCGGGGGTGAGGGGAGAACCGCAAGGTCCGAAGAAATGGGAACCTTACCTGCAGAAATCTTGCTTATATCCCAAACACGCAGCCCTTCTCGCTCCCCTCCAAAGGCAAAAACGAACGGGAAGTCGGGGCAGCAAGCTGCACAGAAGAGAACACCCTGCGAGGGAGGGAGGAAGACAAAAGAGGACTTTCAAAAAAATACCATCCTAAAATCAGTCTGGCACATTAAAACACTTTGGCCAAGCAGGGTCTAACCAAGGTCAGCTCCCTGACGTTTCCTGAAGCTTCCTGTGCACACGCACAGCATTAAGAGCTGCCCATCATGAAGAGCAAAGCACATCTTTGTCTGGAACCTGGCAGACCTACAGTTCTGCTGAGACCGCCGCACCTGCTGTTCGGAGGCTTCGAAGCAGCCTGCCAGCTCCGTGCGGAACGGGAGACTGCACTGGAATGAGAATGATTTACCTGCAATACACAGCGTGACTATTTTTTTTCCCCTTAAAAGGTGTTGTGTTAGGTAAAACAAGCTTCAAGCTAGACAAAAGAAAGACTAAGCAGATGCAGTTTATATGTAAACCTTCTTGGAATCAAGGAATAAACATTACCATTTTCATATCCCTGGAATGGATTAAACTGGGTCTGTCTCCTAGGATATCCCAGATTTTCACAAATTTGTCAGCAGATGACGTCACGAGGCACCCCTTGATCTGACTGCTCAGCTGTAGCCCTGGAAGACGAAGAGTGCAGCGGCATGAGAGCACGCGGTAACCACCACCCCACCGAGGCCAGGAGACCTGAAGCCAAGTCAGGAAAAAGAACCCGATATTCTCCTCACACTAAACTGTCCCAGCCCAAAGGGGGAAACGTTAAGGACGGTTCACGCTGCCACTGCTCCCTGTAGTGAGAGCAAACCGACTTCCCGTAGGCCTGCTCCGTCTCTCAATCCAAGAGCAGTAACGGTGCAAAGATGCTGCGGTTCTGCTGCTCACATCACGTGATCTGGCTACCCCAGATCCTTTGCCAAAGGACGTCCCGCTCCAGGACAATGGGGCGTGTTCCCATGGTGTTTTAGAGGCTCCTACACTGATCAAATAAAGTAGCTGAAGGGAGACGGGGTGAAAACCTCCCCATGTGCCGTACCAAAATCATCTCCAGAGGAATATCAGTATACAGTAATTACTGATAGAGGAGGTAAACATTACAGTTCATAATCCCAGACCGGATTCCATAGTTTTTGTTCTTCCTCACCCAAAACCACGCAGAGGGTGTGTCCAGAGTGAACAGATCTGTTTGATACGCTTATTCACGACGAAAAGTGTCACTGTTGTTAACAATACTCTGCCTAACAGGGGCTTCTCAGCAGAGGTTGGTTTCACGTGCCAGCTACCCACGATTAGCAGCCACAACTCTGACTTGCCCAGCAAGGACTCAGGACCACCTCAGTCATACCAGTTAACGACATTTTCCAGATGTGCCTCGCCCCCGGAGGCAAACACAACGCACCCAGAATTTACCTGACACCTCCTCATCGTGAGCTTTCAGAGTAAACAGCGGCTTATCAGAACGAGCATCCAGGCAGTACACGAAACCATCCTCTGTGCTTGCCTAAGGAAACCACAAAACAAAACCAGCTGTAGGCGCTGATTTGGAAAAAAGCTCCTGTGAAATAATACCCACCCTCTAGTAAATCCCTGTGGTTTGACACAGACTTGCACAACTCCTCCGTAAGGTGTGTTACACAGGTCTGCATCCCATGTCAGACTCCAGCCAGCTGGTGCCTGAGCTGTTGGTGAGGCACTGGCACAGGTTGCCCAGAGAAGCTGTGGATGCCCCATCCCTGGAAGTGTTTAAGGCCAGGCTGGATGAGGCTTTGAGCAACCTGGTCTAGTGGAAGGTGTCCCTGCCCAAGGCAGGGGGGTTGGAACTGGATGGTCTTTAAGGTCCCTTCCAACCCAAACCATTCTGTGATTTACGTACCTAAGCTGTGCCGTGCTGACTTACTACATGGAAGTCTTAATCCAACACAAATCTCTTGAACTGTATTTTGAAACAGGTTGCACCGCTAAGCGCCGCTCTCGCGTTAGGGAACGAAACACAGAGCCTTTAGCCTGTACTTAACTGCCAGTCCAAACATTCAGAGCCATCCGGCGGCTGCACACCAGCCCTGGGCAAAGCCAAGGGTGAGAAAGACCCACAACATCAGCCCAACAGAGCAGAGCACCTGCTTTTGTCAGCCGTATGCACGAAGCAACAGAACAAGACGGTCCTGGGCACAGCCAAGGCATTACTGTCACTCAGTACCAGCAGCCGGGAGGGCAGCTGTCACAATGAAGGTACCAAATAAGCAGCCGGTCTCCATAGGCGTTTAAAAACCCCACCCAGCACCACCCTCCCACAGACTGCACCTTTAAAATACGCAACGGTTCATCGGGTCTGTCTCACGATTCAGAAACACGGTGAACACAAAACCAGAGGTTAAAAGACACGGCAGCCGACCAAGAACAGAGGAGCAGGTACTCACTAAGAAATTACAAGGTGAAAAATGATTCCAAGTTACTCTTTCAACCTGACCACTGAACCGCCACACTCGATGGTTCTCTTGGGGGTTTCTGCAGTCGTAGAGCACAGCTGATCTGGGGGAAAAAGGCACAGGAAATGAAAAAACCAAATATCAGAGCGGAACACTTTATCAAGTTTGTTTTGCCACTGGCATCCACAGAATATAAAGTACAACTCGAAAGGGAAAATAGAAACAACTATTAGTTGTCCAGCTCAGTGACAGATGAAAACTCCTCAGATAAACACAAGCTATTTCCACATGCTTCCAAGTTCCATCCCGGTTACAAACAGCCGCGCTACTGAAACTAAGTGCACACAGCTTGAATTTACTCCATGTGTAACATTCTCATCATATAGGAGACCATAATTATGCAAATACATTATGTATATAATTATTGATTATGAACAGATTTCAGTGACGTCAAGTTAACGACTATTCAGAAGTAATACACTAATTAAGGAATCAATCTGTGATAGATGTACGGACACTTTCAGATACGCTTTAATAAAAAGAGAGAAAAGATTGATCTTTAAAAGTGGTCAGGGAAGTGCTGCTCCAAAAAGGAGCAAGAGCAGATGGGAGTCAGTGGGTCCTTTGGGACTCCACAGTCACATGCTGGGCCCAGGGGCATAGCCCACTCCCACTTGATCCTATAACTACAGCCAAAGAAATGGGATGTAGGTTTCTCAGCCCCTGCACCTGGCATTTTATAACCACAGTTCAGTACACAGGTGATTTTCAACAGTCTGACTTCCAGGTTATGAAGCATCTGCCAGTATCCATTGGAAAGCCTGTGGTCCTGCGTGGCTTTACAGGGAAAAATCCACAAATGCAGCCTGCTTGTTTACAGCACCCGCACACTGGTTTACAGGTGTCCGTGGGATCAGAGCGCTGGTAAAAAGGGATCACGAAGCTGGTCTCACTGTTTTCTTCTTTACGCTGAGGGGAAGGACAGGAGACAGAACCGGGTTCCTAACAACAGTAAAAGGTTCTTCCCTGACACTTTTGCTTAAGCAGATGTAGCAAGAGGCTAACACAAGCCAGACAGCACAGAGGTTTGGCTGAAGACTGACAAGTCTTTAAATATTTTAACACAAGGACAAAGTCTTAAAAGCAGAATAAAATATCGATACAAAAACTATCACAGTTATAGAACCAAATGTGTGCTGGCAGCCCAGAAAG